AAAAAAAAAAAAGGTGGAAACAACCGTGTCCATCAATAGATGAAAAGATAAACAAAATGAACATACAATGGATAAACTTATAATGGAATAGTATTCAGCCATAAACAGCAATAATTGTGAAAACATGCTGTAACATGGATGAACCTTGAAAACATGTTAAGTGAAATAAGACAGGCATATTTATATTAGATATTTAGAGTAGGCAAATTCATAGAAACAGAAAGTAGATTAAAGATTACCAGCAACTGGGGGAAAGGGAATGGGGAGTTACTGCTTAATGGTTACAAAGTTTCTTTTTGGTGTGATGAAAATGTCCTGGGGATAGTTGTGATAGTTGCACAACAGTGTGAATATAATTAATGCTACTGAACTGTACACTTAAAAATGGCTGTAACAGCAAATTTTGTTATATTTTACCACAATTTTTTAAAATGTGGAAAAAAGTGAAACAGAATTATGTACATTAATGAGCTAACATATTTTCACATGACCAATGGATAATGTTACAAAATCATTCATGGATTAAAGATACATTCGGGGGTAAGACAAACCAATAGATTTTTAACATAACAAGCATGAAAAGTTGAAAAAACTACTACTTGTTAAGTTTATAAAATAAAAAACTTTTGAGTATCAAATAAAAATATTCATACTTGTCTGAAAATTAAAATATTTTAATTAAAATATTTTAATTAAAATATTCCTCCCTTTCCCAACTACAAATCTATACAAAGCTGGGTTTTCCTTTTTCTTGCCTTTTTTTTTTTAAAGACTTTATATTTATTTATTTGAGAGAGACAGTGTGAGAACACAAGCAGGGGGAGAGACAGAGAGAGAGGAAGAAGCAGACTCCCCAGTGAGCAGGGAGTCTGATGTGGGGCTCAATCCCAGGAACCCAGGATCATGACCTGAGCCCAAGCAGATGCTTAACTGAGCTACCCAGGCGCCCCAAGGCTGGGTTTTCTTTATATACTTTAGCCGAAATAATAAATGTAGAAGCAAATATGAAAATGCTACTCTTCTAAAACTACTGTTTAGGAAAATACAGTTGTTAAAAAAATATTAATATGCAATGGGTTTATTTTATTTTTTTAAAAAAATTTTTATTTATTTATTTGACAGATAGAGCACAAGTAGGCAGAGTGGCAGGCAGAGGGAGAGGGAGAATCAGGTTCTCGGCTGAGCAGGGAGCCGGACGTGGGGCTCGATCCCAGGACCCCAGGATCATGACCTGAGCCGAAGGCAGCTGCTTAACCAACTGAGCCACCCAGGCGCCCCTGTAATGGGTTTATTTTATTTTTATTTTTTTTAAAGATTTTATTTATTTGACAGAGAGAGACATGGCGAGAGAGAGAACACAAGCAGAGGGAGTGGGAGAGGGAGAAGCAGGCTTCCCGCCAAGCAGGGAGCCCGATGTGGG